AAAAAAAAAAAAAAAAAAAAAAAAAAAAAAGAGTACAGGTGTGAGGTGTCAGCAGCAGACACCTCCCTGGGAGTGGGAGTGAGCGCCCCGTCACTAAAGGGGACTTAGATGGGCTGCCAACAGCATCTTCTGGACCGTGTGGAGGGGTTACTGCAGAGGGATTAAAAGCAAGGACTTGGAGCCAGACCTCTTGGGTTTGAATTCTGATTCGGCCGCTTCCAGCTGTGACTGTGGGTAAGCCACATGATTCTCCACGCCTTTGTTTCCTCCTCTGGAAAGTACTCGTGTCCTAGAGGTGTTGTGGAGATCAAGTGACTTCCCGTTTATACAGTGATTTTGTGCCTTTTTTTTTTTTTTGCGGTACGCGGGCCTCTCACAGGCTCACAGGCACAGGCTCCGGACGCGCAGGCTCAGCGGGCCCAGCCGCTCCGCGGCATGTGGGCTCTTCCCGGACCAGGGCACGAACCCGTGTCCCCTGCATGGGCAGGCGGACTCTCAACCACTGCACCACCAGGGAAGCCCTATACAGTGATTTTTAACAGACCTGTGAGTTTGCTGCTGTCGTTACTATTGAAGAGTTTGCAACTTGGCGGCCTCAGGATTGGATGAGGCATGCAGCTATGCTGTGTTTGGGAGGGTTTTCCATGTTGAAAGCTTGAGTTCTGGCTTCCGTGGGAAGGTGGGAAGATCTGGAAACACCGGGCCCCAATCGACACTGCGGTAATGAGCAGAAGCGGACTCAGCTGCCCCCAGCCTAGACGGGCCTGCGGTGCACTTTCTCACAGGGGTCTTTCCGTCATTCATTGTCATGCCCTCTCTGGTCCTTATGGACATTTGAGTTTGCGACCTCTGTATTACTGGGTGGAGACGGTGTAAAGACCAAGGCTCTGGAGCTTACGGCCCGTCGCAGTGGACACGTTCGCAGACAATCCAGAGAGGAAAGCGGCGCGCAGTCGCCTTCTTCCCTGGGGCATCACGGAGACAAAGGATGCTGCGGGTGCGGCGAAAGGACAGTGATGGGAGAGGGCATAGCTGCGGCAAAGGACCCGTGGGCTCCGGGACTGGCGCCAGGCTGGAGAGCAAGCCTCTCGTCTGGGAGCTCCGCCTGGAGCCTCAGCTCGCCTCCCCGGGAGGTCAGTGCGTCAGACTCAGTTTCTTGGGCTGTCCCAGAGACGGAACCTGGGGCTTCAGAACTAAAGGCAGCAGCGCCTTGCTTCGCGGTCGGACGGCCTTCCAGAGCACCGTCCCGGGCCGGAAGTCGCCCAGCCGCCGCTTCCTCACGCGAAGGCGTGGTGCGGGGTTGGCGGTCCGGCCGGATGGGCAGTTGAGGAGGAAGCGGAGCAGCCGCGGGGACTTTCTTTCAGGCGGCGAGGCCGCGGAGGGCGCGGGGTGGAGGGTACGAGCGCGCGGAAAGGAATGAAGAACGCACCTGGCAGCTGAGGATCGTGGCCGTTTCTAGAGGCGCCTGAGCCGCGTGCGCAGGCGTGGAGCGTCCGGGCGGGGGCGGGCCCTTAAAGGGGCCGCAGCGGAGGATCCGGGAGTCTGCGGAGAACCCGGGGTACCCCGGGGTGGGGGTGGCTGAGGATCGTGCGGTTGCACGGATCCCCTCAATATCCCTGCCCCGGGTGGTGACCAGGTCCCGAGTAGAGCCGCCCTCGGAACCCAGTTTGTGGGCCGGCCCTGTGATCAATCCCCAGTTTAAGCGCGTCTCCCCGTCTCCAGCCCGCGGCGCTATGGCTCACGTCGGCTCTCGCAAGCGCTCGAGGAGTCGCAGCCGGTCCCGGGGGCGAGGGTCGGAAAAGAAAAGAAAGAAGAGCAGTAAGGACGCCCCGAGAAGCTGCTCGGCTTCTAGATCCCGAAGCCGCAAGGCCAGCACCACCTCCTCCGGGGCGGAGGGTGAGAACCAGAGGGAATGGGAAAGGGGTGAGGGAACTTCATGGAGGAAGTTGCAGGCAGCTGGGCGGGCTTCTCCGGACTGGCTGTGGGGAAATCGCGGTGAGCGCTATTCAGAGGCACACGGAGTGTAGATCCTGCATATCTGGATTGAAAGACGCTCAGAATCCAGGGACTGGGCCAGCCCATTGAGTACGGAGTGAAGGGAGCACTTAATCATATTTTTGGTGCAGCTGGGTTTGAGATACGGAGGCTGGCCGCCCTGCTCCTGGGCAGTGACTGTGCAGCCCAGAAAGTGCCTCTCCACAGGGTGCAGAGCCCTCCTCTAGAAAGCCCTGCCAGGAGGGTCTCACCCCTCTGTAATCAGCCTAAGCCTGCTACAGGCCAGAGCAAGGGGACGAAGGTTTACTTCTTCGCCTCCTGGCCTTCCAGCCTCACCTTCTCCCTGCGTCACAGAGAGAAGCAAACACAAGGCCCGGAGGAGACCACGATCCAGCCCCTCCTCCTCTCCTTCCAGTTCTTCCAGCTGCTCTTCCTCCAGCGATGGCCGGAAGAAGCGGGGGAAGCACAAGGACAAGAAGAGGAAGAAAAAGAAGAAAAGGAAGAAGAAGCTGAAGAAGAGAGACAAGGATAAGGCCAAGGTGCAGCAGACCGAGGCTCTGCCCGGACCCTCGCTGGACCAGTGGCACAGAGCAGCCGAGGAGGACGAGGACGGCCCAGGTACAGTGCTGCCTGGTGTGCAAGGCAGGGAGGGTCCCCTCCCTGAGGCCCCCATTCCTGAGCCCCGCCCCCTGCCACCTCCCTGCCATTTACCTTCCAGTCCTGACGGACGAGCAGAAGTCCCGCATCCAGGCCATGAAGCCCATGACCAAGGAGGAGTGGGATGCCCGGCAGAGCGTCATCCGCAAGGTGGTGGACCCGGAGACAGGACGCACCAGGTGGGAAGCCGGGCCCCACGGCTGCACCTGGGCGCCCTGGTCCCAGACCAGCACTCAGGAGGAGAGGTGGTGGCAGCTTCTGCTGCTCTAAGAGGACCGAGGATGAGGGAGAAAAAGGAGTCACTCGTTGATGGGACTTCTCAGGCCACTGCTGCCCATTCCTCAGAGCAGGCAACTGCAGGGGCTAGAAGGGCCTTGGGCGGGGGTCTTCAAAGAGCCGCTGTTGGCTGGTCCGATGGCAGAGCCCACCGGGCCGCCCTCATCCTTGTCCCAAGGGTGGGAGGGAGGGGTGGGAGCGGCCAGGCTCCGCCTACTCGAGATGGTGGGGGCCTGAGGCCTGGCACCCCTCTGCTGGATGCTTCTGGTTCTGTTGCTCTGGCCTCTAAGTTAGAGGCTCAGCCTCCCCTCCCCTCCTCTAGGCTCATTAAGGGAGACGGTGAGGTCTTAGAGGAAATCGTAACCAAGGAACGACACAGAGAGATCAACAAGGTGGGTGTCGCCCCCTTGCCCAGGCCCACCCCCAGCTCTGCTTCTGATGTGTCCCCTCCTGTGTGCTTTCTTCCCCAGCAAGCCACCCGAGGGGATGGTCTGGCCTTCCAGATGCGAGCAGGGCTGCTGCCCTGAGGGCCCCACTGGCCAAGGCCTGCACGCAGTGTCGGTGGCACAGCCTGAAGGCTGGCCTCAGGGTGGGTAGCAGGGAGCCCGATGGATGCTGCTTGTCTCTCTCCTGCAGACCAGCCTCTGGCCCAGCCTCCTGTCACATGCAGGGGGTGGAGGGCAGGGTCACTGGCCTAACTGGCTCCCCTAACTCCTGAAAGAGTGCAGCTTCCCAGATATTAAACGTACCCTGGTTGGAGACTTCTTCTGTGCTGTTGCTTTTTGTGCTGAGGAGGGGAGGGGAGAAGAGTGCAGCCCTACTTCCAGGGCAAAAATAAGGACTTCAGGAGCTTTTGGGGAAAGGACAGGCCACGTCAGTCACCTTTGCCCTCCTCACCCTCAGATGAGGTCCTGTCTGGACCAGACCCAGGGCTCTACCTCCAGCTGCATCCCAGACCCTTGGCTCTTACACTGGATTTCCTCAGGCTTGGAGGGAGGCTGCTGCCCTCGCTGCTTGTGCCACAGACGACGCAGGTCAGAATTCTGGTGGCCCGGGAGGAATCCTGGCCCAGCTTACTGGCTGTGTCCTCTGTGAAGCAGAGGCTGACAGTACCCACCTCCCTGACTGGGTTGCTATGAGGACCAACTGAGTTCATGCCTGGGAAAGGGCTGGAAGGGGGCCCAGCATAGGTAAGACCCACGTGAGTGTACTGGTATTACTGTGAGCGTAGCTGACACTGTGTACTGGGAAGGACAGCCTCTCCCCTCACAGGACAGGCTGGGCCCCCATCCCAGCCCCTGCACCCCCCACCCCCGGCCCCAGGGCTCTGGTTGCCGGCGCAGTACTGAGACCCAGAAGGAAGCCTTCCTGCTTCTTTAATTGGTGTAACAGACCACGACACAGTACACGGAGCACACTCAGGCCTGATGGAGCAGGGACAGCAAGGGCGGGCGGGGGCAAGTCAGGACGCCACTCACATTCGGTCCAGACAGACAGACAGGGGGCTGAGACGTGAAGACTGTGACGTGGCGGGTGGGCGGGCAGGCAGCTCAGACTGAGCTAGGAAGGGGGCGTGGGGTCTCTGCTGAATCCCTCTTTAGAAATCAAAGAGAAGGCAGGTGGGGGGATCTGGGGGGTGGCGGGCTGAGGCTCAGTCCTGGGGGCTTGGGGGTGGGAGTGGGACTAAGGCTTCTACTCTAACAGGCCTGGGGTGGGGTGGCAGTCAGCAAGGCCTGCTTCACCCTTTGGTTACGACTGGTTGGGCCTGAGCCCTGCAGCTCAGCACCCAATGCTGTAAACATTTTTGGTATTTTTAAAGGACTCTGTCCTCCCTCTCTTAGTTTCTGAAAAAACTGGTGCTTCCTTAAGAGGATAATGTGCCGAAAGGAATCTTCAGGTAGGCCAGGAAGCAGACCTGGATAGAGAAGACAGACGTCACCAGGGTGGCTGGGCTGCCCACCTCACCATCTATGGCTGAGGGCCGCTGGGAGAGGCCCGGGGACTATTGCTGTTGTCCTTGGCATGGCTGGCAGCTGGGCAGGCAGGCGGGGAGCTCGGAGCCGTGGAGGAGCTGCCCGCTGGGAGAGGCCGAGCCCACTGCCCACCCAGCCTCCTGGGGCCAGGCGGCCTCCCGGCCTTTATTGCAGGCGGGCTGAGACTCTTCCAGGTGCTCCTGTGGATGGCTGCTCACCGGGCGACAGGCGAGATGGGGTGAGGTGGGACCGACAGGAGGCGGCACTGGCCATGGGGGGCCCTCGTCGGGGCTGTGATTGTCGGGCCAAGCGATTCCCGCTGGGAGCAAGGGGTTAGATATTGCACTTTCACTGCAACAGTTACATTAAAACTTGGTCCATAAAATAATCGTCGCTTTATACATAATGCCTGAAACAACAACAAAAAGCTACATCTTAAATATGAATAAACCCTGAAGGTCCCATCCCTCCAGACGTTTTTCGCTGCACAAAATAAATAGCTTTCACTCTGTACAGACCCACTTTTGCAGAACATTTACACGACCCTTTGGCTGTACATATCTACACACGGGAAAATGTTAACATCCGTCTGCGCGCCTCCCCGTCCCAGCCCACGAGGCCCTGAGGCCGTATCCAGGTTGGCAGCAGCTTCGCATAGAAGGAGCCTGGTCGCTGGACGGCTGGCTGAGGCCTGGCAGGCTCCCCCGTCTCAGAGCAGGTAGAGCAGCAGCGGAGGGGCTGCCGGGGCTGAGGCCACGGCTGAGATTGCCGTCGGTTCCGGGGAGGGAGGGCTGATGCTCAGACCCAGCGCTCAGGACAGCGCGGTCCTTACCAGGTGGGAAATGAAGTCGTGGCTGCCTGCCCTGAAGCTAACTAAGCGAGTTGTGGCTTCTTAGATTCGGCATCGAAACGGAATTGGCGTTAAAAAAAACCTAAGTGTGTGCCCCACTCACCCCAGAGTAGAAATTCAGTGGAATTAACGAGGGTCAGGCGAGGCAGGGAGCCCACGCCCCGCTGCCTGGGCAGGGGACAGGGCCCTGGGACCCAGAACCAGGCTGGACTCCGTCACAGTGCTGGGCGTTTTCATGTGGAGGGGCTGCGTTTGGTACTGAAAGAGTTAAGAAAAGGAAGCAGCCAAGGATTGCTCATTTAAAAAAACCTCATAGAAATCAGATTGGAGAAGTAGAAAGGTGTAGAAACGTGGAAGGGGGGGCCGAGGCGCAGGGCCTTGGCTGACGGCTGGCGAGGAGCGGAAGAAGTAAGCCCGGCTGGTCCCGGCCCCACGGCCCGAGGCGAGGCTTCTCAGGAGCCACCAGCCTGGCGGCCTGGGCTGTGCCTGAGGCTGAGATGACGCCAGGCCCTTGGCTGGATGGGGCTCCCGGTGGGGCAGCTGGAAGGGGTTGGGAGTCCGGGGCTGCCATGGGCCAGGCGGAGATGCGGAAAATACCATATGGCCTTTCTCTCCTACTTGTACAAGGATTCTCTGCCCTGGAGCCTTCTGTGTGGCGACGGGTCCTGGATCAGCAAACGCTGAATTTTCACGCACGTCAACGGATCTGTAGCCATAGGAGATGGTGATGGGTCTCCACCCTCAAACTTCAGTGCAAAACCAGTGAGGTCGAGCAGTTGAGTAACTCGAGTTAACAAGAAGCAGGCTGTCCCCCGTTGGAGCTGCTACCAAGTGGGAGGGGACTTGGGGGTCGGGGCGAGCTAGTGGACGGGAGGTACCCAGGCCTGGCATCAGGATGCTGGGCGGTCAACGCAGGGCAAGTGTCCGGGAGTGCCTTCCCGGCCAGTCCACGCTGGGGGGGTCCTGGTCCCTCCGTCATCCTCGGGCTGATCGTCCTGCCAGCTTCCACGATATGCTGGAACCCCGCAGACCCTAACACGTGAGGCAGGGCTGGAAGGGCTGTGTGTGGCACGGCCCCGTGTCCTCTGCCAGGCCCTGGGACAAGCTGGGCCCCAGCCGACTGTCCGTGCCCAGGCCAGGCCTCCTGGCAGGGCGGGCCGCCCCGGCCTAGCACCATGGAGACCACAGCGCCTTGCTCCCGGAGCCCTACTTGGGGCCCGCAGCTGTCCCCGGCTCGGGCCGGCCCGCCATGGTGCGGCCCCAGCAGCCGGCCGCCACGCTCATGCTACGTTGTCCCCGCTGCTCGCCGTCCGCCTGGCTCTGCGTCCGCTCGTGCCGGTGGCCGGGCCCGCTGGGCTGGGCCGAGATGGTGCGGAGCAGGTGGTTCCGGGAGCGCAGGAAGTCGCCCTGGCCAGGCAGGCCGAAGCTGCCCTTGCGCAGCGCCATGCGGGTGGCCGCGTTGCGGGCCGGGCGCGCCCGGTGGTTATACTTGAGCTGGGCCAGGTGGGCCGCGTAGCCATCGGTGATGAACTGCGGGGGAGGGAGGGCAACGCGGAGCACAGCTGTCAGGGGGCGGGGCTCCCGGGGCTGCCCGACCGCCCGCCAGCCATGACGCGTCTGCTCACCTGGCACTGCTGCTGCAGCTTCTTGGTGGGCCGGCCCACGATGTAGATCTGCATGGGGGACAGGCTGATGGAGCTGTAGACCGCCACGTCCTTGGTGGAGCCGTAGGCCGCGTGCACGCGCAGGTGCAGCTGTGGGTCAGACGGGCGTGGGCGCGGGCTCGGCCCTTCCGCCTGTCCCCACCCCACTCCCTTCTAGCCGGGACCCACCTCAGAGATGAGCAGCTTCAGGAAGTTGGCCTTGTGCCTCAGCGGGTCGTGCACCAGGCCGTCACAGAAGGACACCACGCCGTGAGGGAAGTTGTGCTGGGCCAGCCATGCCACCACCCGCTGCTTCTGCATGTCAGGCCGGCCCGTCACATAGATGATGAGGTAGCCCAGGTCCTGCCAGTGCCTGGGGGCGAGGGGCAGGCCTGGGTGTCCCACGGATGCACTGTCCTCCCTCTTGGGCCGCCCAGCCAGTCCCCACGGGGGCCACTAAAGAGCACCTCTCGGGTCAGGGGCCGACAATGGCAGCAGCAGCCGGACTGACAGCAGCGCGGTGCTCGCGGCCCCCACCCCCGCCCCCTGCAGCAGGTGTAACTGGTCTTGTTAGAAGCAGCCCCGCTCCCCAGGTAAGGGAACTGAGGCATCAACAGCAAGAGGTTACAGCTGGGAGGTGTGACCCAGCTGCGGGGTCCCTGCCCCATGTCCCAGCTCTGGCACCCAGGGCCCTCCGCCGTCTGGCCTTGGAGCTGCCTGCCTCTGAGCCCACCCGCTGCTGCTCGGAGCGCTCACCGCACCACGTCCACGGCCCCGGCCCGCACTTTGGGGTCGCTGCCCATGATGGACACGCTGGCGGCGAAGGAGCCATCGATGCTGAAGACCACGAACTCCGTGCCCTTGGGCAGCACGGTGATGTAGCTGTCGGCGAACGTGTGGTCTCCCCTGGGAGGGGGCAGCTCATCAGAACCCACCAGGGCTCTTTCCTCCCGCCCCGGACGAGGCTGACCCGGCCTGCTCACTCCTTGGAGCTCATACCTGACCACCATCTTGACGGGGTAGACACCCACGCCCAGGCGGTGGGTCTCGGGGATGGTGTAGGAGACGCGCCCGCTGCTGTTGGTCACCAGCGTGTCCAGGTACAGCCACTCACCCGAGGGCGGCTGCATCATGATGTGCACGTCCACCTGGAGCCGGGAGGGCTGGTCATGGCTGGGCCGCGCCCTTGGCCTCCCCACCCCCACTTCCCACCCCCCAGCCAGAGGGAGGCGAGGTGGGGGGCTCCCGCGGGCTCCCTGTGTCTTTACCTTCTCCCCGGTCAGGGTGACCATGTCCAGGGGCCCATACATGAACCGGCCTGTCAGGACCTGAGGGCCATCCTCGTTGGCGACCGCATCATTGATCCGGTGATTGGCCGTCACGTTCTGGGGGGAGGAGAAGCAAAGCTGGGTCAGGGCTGGGGATGGAGGGGCGGCTGGGGCCTCCTGGGCTCAGCTCAAGCTTCCCACGGGCCTGGGGCGTGAGTACGGGTGCAAAGCCCGATGACCCAGCTCAGCCACTGAGCTACGTGGCCTTGGCGCTGGTCCCCATCTGTAAATGGGGTTACAGCTCCAACCCCAGACTGTGAGGATTAAGTAAGACAGCACACTTCTCTGTGACTCAGTTTCCTCATCTGTAAAATGGGGTCTTCTTGCGCGGATTCAATAGGACGACAGCTGTGGGACCTGGGCACTCAGAGGACCCCTCACCCGCAGCTTCACGTGGGTCCTCTTGCGCTGCCACTTTTCTCTCGGCTTTGACGGGGTGAACACCGAGACCTCCTTGCCGTCCAGTTCCAAGATGCTGGAGTTGTCGTGCCTCATGACCTGGGAGTGGACACAGAGGGAGGCCATGGGGCAGGCTCAAGCCTGGGGCTTCCTGTTCTAGAGGGGAGAGGCCAGCGGCCCTAGGGGCCACGCTACCCATGGGAGGGTTTGGCGGGGGGCACTATTTGACCCCACTGCAGTCTGCTCTCTGGCCTGTTAGGGTGCACATCCATTCACCCCATCTCAACATCCCCACGGCTTCCTCCATCCTGCCGGCTGTGGCGTCTGCTGGGGCCAGAAAGTGGGGCTCCCCACCGTCCTCATCTATGAAATGGGGCCACCTCAGCAGCGGTGTCAGTCGGGCCTCCTGAGAGGTGCAGGTGTGCCCGTCAGGGGGACCCTGGGTACCTGTCTCAGCAGGAAGGAGACCACATCCGTGGACTCCCAGTAGCTGGCGTGGAAGAGGTGGGGCAGGGCCACGGTGGGGAAGGCCGTCAGGGCGTCGGGGCAGTACAGGGCGTAGTCGATCCGCTTCTGACCCCACCACTTCGCCGCAACTGCCAAGAGGAGGGGCTGTGACTGGGCTGGGCCCCAGGGGCTCACCTGGCCCCTCAGGCCGGGCGCAGCCCAAAGGCAAGACCCTCCTCTGACCAGAGAGAAGGGCTGCAACCAAAGCAAGTCTCCTTCTCCCACACTCGGCGACGGGAGCAGCAAGCAGCCAGGGCGCCTGAGGAGGGGGAGGTGGGGGACTGCGGCTCAGCCGGGAGGATGTGGAGATACAGGGCGAGGGGACAAGCCCAGTCCAGAGGCAGGACTGCCTGGCCCTGGTCCTGTCGACCCCCCGCCTTGGGCCTTATCACTGCCCTCTCCAGGCTTCTCCTGGACCCCCTGTCTGCCCCCGCAGGCCTCAAGGATGTGCGAGGCTTTGCAGAGATGGAGTCACGATTCCTGGGCCCCAAGGCAAGGCCCGCTGTCCTCAGCACCTGGCAGGCAGGGTGTGAAGTGAGGGCCTTCAGTCTACACAGCCTGCGCGTGAAGCCGGCTCCCCCTCCAGGCTCGGGGACCGCCCAGGTTTGCAAAAGCCTCCTGGGTGACTGCACGCAGGAGGTGCACCTGGTTAGGCTCGGGGTGGCCCTGTTCTCCGCCTGCAGCCTGCCTGACGAGCAACCCCCAGCCCTCACCCGGCCTCCATCCAGCTGCCCCCCCCCACCCCCCACTGCTCCTGCTTCCTCCCCGGAAGTCTGGGTGCTCCCAGACCAAGCCGCCAGCTCCCCGCTAGGCCTCAGCAGGGCCCGGGGGTGAGGCGTGCCTGGAAACAGAGCGTGACCCCAGTTAGAGAAGGCGGACGTGTGTGCATGGAGGGCTGTGACGCCCGGGACCTTCTCTGATGTCCAAGTCGGGGAGGCGGGGGCCCTCCCCAGGCTGGGGCTTGCCTGCTGGCCCAGGGCGGTGGGCGGTAGTGGGGGAGGGCAAGCAGGGATGGGCACCTGACGCTGGGGCTGTGGCTAAGCGGTGCACAGGCTCAGCCCTGCTGGGGCCACCACTGCCCCCGTGGGCCAGGAGGACACCCACGCCGGCCTTAGCCCCAGAGCCCTGCTCTGACAGGCAGCCTGGGAGCCAGTCATGTGGCAGGGGGCCGCTGGCCCCGGGGGAGTGTGTGGGGGGGTGACCCGGACTCCGCTACCAGCTGCTGAGAAGCTTCTGAGATGGGCAGGAGCGAAGCAGGCTGTGGGTGACTCTGCCCCCTGGGGCGGCAGGAGGGGCTGGCACAGGAGACCTCGCCTCCCTGGCTCCCCTCGGCCACCGCTGCAGCTTCTCCAGAAATGGGCCCCCCAGCTTTCTCCTTCAAGGAGCACCTGCTCCCCTGGGGCTAGGACCCCTCCTCCCAGACCCACCCACCCCCAGCTGAGACAGCACCACCCATCTCCCACCACCTGCACCTGCCCCCCCCCATGCCCTGCCCCAGGGCCACCCCTTTCAACGTTCCTTCCTTGCAGAGTCCTCTATGGACACGGGGGCTGGATCACTCTTCGCCACGGGGCCGTCCTGGGCACCGTACGGTGTTGAGCAGCACACCTGGTCTCCACCCACCAGATGCCGGTGGCGCCCACCCCGGTTGCCTCCAGACGCTGCACACTGTCCTCTGGGGGCCGGGCACAGTGGCCGCCATTGAGACGGGCTGCGACAAGGCACAGCCCCTTGCTGTGACGGGGAGGCAGGCCCCGGCACTGCTGCACTCACCCTGGGCAAGGCTGGACGCCGTGCAGCTCTCAGCCATGCCCGACACCTGGCTGGCGATGCTGATCTCGCTGGCCCGGCGGAAACCTCGGGCAGTGGGGGCTGTGCCAGGCGAGGAGGGGGCCGCGTGCTCTTGGAAGACCGCGTTGTGGGCCTGGAGTGCATCTGCTGCAGGCGGACAGGGACCAAAGACTGCGGGTAAGGAGGCCTCGCCCAGCCCGGCCCTCCAGCCCGCGAGCAGTGGGAGGGGGCGTCCAGCATGTGCTGGGGCTGGGGCAGCCGGAGCGGCCGCTGTGCCAGACAAGGCCGACACGTCCAGCTGCTGAGAAGCAGGGGTATCTGAGCACAGCTGGCAGAGAGGATGGGCCCAAGCGAGCCAGGGCCAGCCTGCTCAGGGCCCAGAGCTGAGGCAGAGAGAAGGGAGCGCTGGGGCAGGGGTGGACAGACGGACCAATACAGACACAGTGGGCAGGGAGGCAAGGCGGCCGGGCTCATGCCCCACACTGGCCACGGCCACCCTTCCAGTCCAGCCATTTTGGCCTCTGGGGCTCGGCCTAGCCTGGCCTGACCCACAGCCCGCGGCAGCTGGCTTTGGGGGCGCTAACAACAGGGGCCTGGGGCAGCTTCCCAGGGATGCCCAGCGCTGAGGACTGAGAATGAGGCAACACCCCCTGCACGTGCCTCACACACGGGTCACATCGAGCCAGCCCTGAATGGGCATCTGGGGACAAAGGCAGGGGCTGAGGGCTCGAGCCAGGCTCACCTGGGTCCAGCCTGAGAACGGGGCTCGGCTACAGGACCCACATCTAGACGGGGTGCAGGAAATGCCTGGACCTCCTCAGGAAGAGGGAGTGGGGCCTTGAGAATCCAAGCCCTAGCCAGGACCGAAGTCTTCTCCTGGGGGTCAGGTGGGTCCCAGCGGGCTCGAGGCCTCACCCCAACTCCTTCTGCTAGCCTCACAAACAGGGGAGAGAACCCTCGGACTGACACCTGTGCTGGGTGACCCTGAGGCAGCTGCTCCCCTCTCTGGGCTCGTGCGCCTCCTCTGCTTTGGGTCCCCTCCCTGCTCTGCCTAGTGTCCAGAGAGGGGGCACCAAGCCTGCTCCCAGGGCCTGTCCTGCCTGGTCTCTGCTTCTCGCCACCACAGCTCCACAAATTCCGGGTGGCCAAGGAGGGCACGGGGGTCCCTGAGGACCAGCGGTCAGCCGGTGAAGCAGACGTCACCACGAGCAGGGGGTTACACACACTCAGCAGAGCTCGGGCTGGGGTGGGGCCCGTCTCGCCAGGTGACTGCGAGAACGGGGATACTGGTCTCCAGGAAGCCATCCCTGTGAGGGAGGGGGACCAGGGGGCCTTCTCCAGGACCAGCTGGGGGTTTCTCTGCACGGTCTGGACTGGAGGCATATGGGGAGAGAAGAGGGGACACAAGAATAGACACTTGTGTGCACGTGACACAGACGTGCGCCGCTCCTCAAGAGCCAGGACGTGACAGGACTAGGACATGGGGGCAGGTGGGACGGGCCGTTCCCGGGGGGCAGGAGTGGGTCACGGGCAACCCCCTCTCATGCTCCTGCACCCCAGCTTCAGGCTACGTGACCTGGAGGCTCCGGAGCTGTCTGCCACGGGGTCCCTTCACAGGGCAGGACAATGCCTGGGACTCAGCCAGGGGCCCTCAGGTCCTCAGGTCTGCCTTGGCAGGGCGGTGGGGCGGGGAGCGAGGTCCCTAGCTGTGTGTGTGTGTGTGTGTGTGTGTGTGTGTGTGTGTCGGGGAGCGAGGTCCCTAGCTGTGTGTGTGTGTGTGTGTGTTGGGGGGGGAGGGAGGGTGAGGGTGGGGGAGGCTGTCTCCCTCCTACCTCCCTGGGGTGGGTGGGGCTAATGCACCGCACCTACACCAGGTGACCCGCTTCCAAGGTGTTCAGTGCAGGACGCCCCTCCCCTCACGGCAGGGCCAGCCCCGGCCTGGGGCACCCAAAGAGAGGGGACAAGTCCCACCATCCCCGAAGGCCGGGGGCCCATGGGGCTCTCACCCAGCAGCGTCGAGCAGCCGTCCCCCAGCGGGTAGCGCTGGTAGCGGGGGATGCTGAGAGGCGGCAGGGCGTGGAATCGCCGCTCCAGCAGCGGCTCCAGGCGCGAGGCCGACGGGTCGGCGGGGTGGAAGAGGTTGTAGACTTGCTGGCAGGCGGGCCGAAGCTGGAAAACTGGGGGGCGGAGTGGGGGGGGGAGTCGCAGCGCCTGGAGCTAGCTCCGCCCTCAGGAGGCGGGGCCTAGAGCAGGCTGGGATTGGGTGCAGTGCGACGGGACGGGGTTGGGGATACAGAGAAACCCGAAAGTGTGTCTCCATCAAATTTGGGATTCTGTTTGGGCCACTGTCCCTTTATTAACCAAATTTGTTTTAATTGAATAAGTTATAATGACCGTGGTTAAAAAAATTTGTTTTTAAGTACAGAAATATATATGATAAAAGACATATAACGGAGGGTCCCCTTTCTCCCCAGAGCCCCGGGGCTGGCGCCCCACCTGCAACTTTTGGGAGCCTCACGCGCATGCGCGGCCTGAGCCGGGTAGAGCTATCCGCTATTAGAAATGTCTCTAGGCTGTGCGATGGGGCTGTGCTTTCGAACATCTCACAGTTGATGGGAAGATCACGTGGACGTCATTATAAACTATCAGTAACATATATCTCACTTTAAAAAATACATACAAATAGGAACATAATCTATGCTTTTTGAACATAATCTATTGTTTTTTTTCATTTAACACAATAAATGGGAGTCTTTCGTATCAGCACTCTAGTTCCGCCCCATTCTTTTTAACTGCGGCGGGGTATTCCATTGTATGGCTGTGCCGCGATTGATTTAACCAGCTCGCATCCCATTTAGGTTGGTTCTGTTTTTTCACCCTTACAGATGACGTTGCCCTAACATCAGTGTCTCTGAGCTGTGTGCTCATACCGAAGCCACTGTTTACTTGCTCTTGGGCAAGTGTCTACGCCTGCCTCTCTGAGCCTCAGTTTCCCGCTGGGGCCCCTGCACAGCTCCTGTAGGATGGCAGTTCTCCCTGGACCACACTCGTTGATCCCAGGGTCACGGGGCAGGGACTGCTGCTCTGATGGCTGCTTAGCCCCCAGGTTCTGTCTCCCTGTGTGTGTAGCCATGAGGAGGAACCTGGAGCAGCGTGGCTGTGGTCCCTCTGGGGCTGGGAGGCCACCCGATCGAGGAGACTTTGGGGGTGCCTGGTTTCACATCTCTTCCTTATGGGAAGACCTTGGGCCTGGGAGACTGGGTCTGGCCCCATCTGATCCTGGGGCAGCTCTTTCCATCTCTGGACCTCAGCTCCCAGAGGTGCCTTGGAGATTAAATGAAACAGCGTGCTGGGAAATGGGGCCAGGGACTGAGCTGCTGAAGCTGGAGCAAAGGAGAGCAATGGGTCCTTGGTGGGGGGTGCAGAAAAGAGGAGGAAGGGGCCTGGGAGGTGGCCATGGCCTCATGACAGGGGTCCACTGAGACCCTCTGCCCAGCTCATGCCCACTCCCCCCACCCCCCCGCCTCACTCCTCCCCTACAGGGACTCTCACCATCCAGGGAGGGGATGACGGTCTTCCTCAAGGCCAGGACCAGCCCCAGCGGGCACCCGAAGAGGAAGAGGTCAGCGATCTCGAAGTCGAACTTGCCCACGGCCCCTGTGCCGTCCAGCATGGTGGAGCTGCTTGAGTGGCGGGAGCTGGGCTCATTCCTCAGCACGCTGGCGTGGAGGCTGCAGATGCCGGGGGACAAATGAGGTCACACCACAGCCCTTCTCGGGGCTGGCCTGTCCTTAGCCTCCTGAAAGAGGCTCCTCAGGGGTCATCAGGCCCAAACGAGGCTTGGTCCCTGTGTGGTCCTGTGAGTGCAGCTGTCCAGCACCTGCTGGGACACCTCCGGTGACAGAAGGTCCCAAACTCTCTAGGGAGCCCACCACCTTTGGGACAGCCCTGACCGGGATCACGCCGCCCCTGGTCAGTTCTGCTCCCTGATTCTGCCATCCCCACTTCCAGCCCTGGTCAATCTGTTCCCTCTGACTCAAGATGGCCCAAGGCGTGTACAAGACCACAGCCGTACCCAACAAGCACCTTCTCCCGGCTGAAGAGCCATGGCCCAGTCTGGGGATCGCAGGACAAGGGCCGGGGGTGCCTCCAGCACCCTCACGTGGGCCATCGGCATGATCTTATCCATGTTCTCACTTCTGAGCCGTCCCTCTGTCTTAGAGCCCCCGACCTCACCTGGCGGTGGGCCTCACTACCCACCTGGACAGGAAGGCCTGGTGCTGCTGGATGGTGTCCAGCTCGTAGGTGGACGAGTCACTCCTCTTGCGGGGCAGCTGCTGTTTGGGGTCCTCAGCGCCGTTGCTTCGGGGGATGTCGATGTTGCTGCGGCTCAGGTGCCGGCTGCTCTCCAGGGTGCCGCCATGTGCCGCATTGACCGTCGTGCCCGGGGACAGCAGGTCAGTGTCCTGGAACGGCCCCATGCAGGCTCACTGCCCGGTGGCCACTGGCCTGGCCCCCTCTTCAGTGTCCTGGAGGCCGTGTCTGCCCTCCTGACTCCAGGCCCACTGGCCACTGCTCAGCGGCCTCTCACCCAAGCCAGGGAGGGAAAAGCCCTGTCCCTCTGTGCCCCACGGTCCCCCCCAGCCTTCACTCTTGGCCTGGCCTGCCCATGTGGGCCTTGCTGATCTCCCACTGATCCCGCTGCCTCGCCCGGCCTGCCAGGCCATTTGCTAGTCTGCAGCAGAGGGACCTTGGGTGCTCTCTCCTACTGGGAAGCTCAGAGGATCCACCCCCCAGGACCAGAGCCTGCTCCCCACGGTGCAGACCCTGCTTCACCGCCTGCTGAAGCTGCCGTGCTCCTAGGTTGAGGCGCGCCGCAGCTGTTCACCTGTCCCACGCATCCACCCCCTGCCTTTGGGCACCTGCATTAGCAACCTCTGCCCTTCCCTTTTTCCACAGGCCTCTGGGATGTTTGGAGCCGGAGGGTGACAGTCCTCAACCTGGAGTCCCCTGCTCTGGGGGCTGGGGGAAGCTAGTACCTGCACACTGGCCACGCTGCCCCGGCGGCTGCTGCTCTGACTCTCAGGTACCGTCTGGCTGCTGCAGCATAAGGCATCGAACGCCAGGATGCCCCCGACGCAGTCCCCGATCAGGCAGACCTGGAGGGGGAGAGGCTCAGGGGCCTGAGAGCCCACCCTGCTTGCTGGAGGGCTGGCTGGGGAGAGCCCTGGCCTGGAGGACCAGGCCAGCCCACCCTGCAGGGTTTCTGTCTTCCCTTCCCCCACCCCACAACTCACCTGCCCGTTGAAGGTCACGCCCTCCTGGGACTTGATGAAGTCCCCGTAGGCGAGGTTGGCCCGCTGGATCACTGTGGCAACGGCCTCCTGGTAGTGGGGCGAAGAGGTTGCCAGCAGGGGCAGGGCGGCCAAGGGGATGTGGTCCTGGCTGCTGGACAGACAGCCTTCGTCGTGGCTGTAGGGGCTGAGGCTGGGGGCGGGAGACCGGTCAGGAGAGAGCAGGTGGCCTCAGCTCAGCCCCGTGGGCCCCTCTTCCCTGACCCGAGCATCAGAGCAGGAGCTGCCTGACACCCTGAGAGCCTCAGCCCTGACTTGGCAAACCTCGTGGGGATGCTTCCAGGCCAGGCATGGGGAACAGGGCAGGGAGTAAGGCCAGTATGTCAGAGGCAGGTCAGCATCCCCACATTACAGATGCAGAAACTGAGGCTCAGCTCTGGGCCCCGGCCCCTCCAGGACCCTAGGCTCAGCCATCTGCGTAGGTTTTGCCGCCTCCTGGCAGAACAGGCTAGACGGCGGGTTTGGATGTCGGCACTGTGGTCCCAGTACTGCGGCTGGGGGGGGGGGGGGGTCTCCTGACCCTCAGGGCCAGGGGAGGGGCAGGTGGCAGCGAGCCTGGGCACTCACTCGGAGACGAGGGCGAAGGCAGTGGAGCAGATGGGCGGGCAGGGCACCAGGCGGATGGCCAGGTGGCCCAGGGCGCTGGGGTAGTGCACGCGCATGACGGTGTCGAACACGGTGGCGATGGTGTTGGTGTCGCCCTGCTTGGAGCCGGGGTCCCCGGCGCCCGTGTCCAGGATGGTGCCTCCGTGCAGCAGCAGCAGCAACACGTGGATCTTGGAGGGCGGCACGGCCAGCGGCGGGCTGACCTCGTCCTGTGCGGGTGGGGGGTGGGGGGGGTGAACTCCCTGGGGACTCGGCTCCTGGCCGAAGCTTCTGTCCTGCTGGGGGGACGCTTGTGGCGGCCCAGTCACTCCCTCTGAGACCCTGTCTCAGCTCCTCTGCTCCAGGGCCTGGTGCCCCTCCCCCGGGGAGGCCCAGCTGCTTCTTCCCCTCCCCTCTGTGTTCAGCCCTGCTCCCTGCCGGCCTGACAGGGGCACAGAGGACAGGGAGGGAGAGGGTCTCTTCCTTCCGAAGCACAACTCCACCTCCCATCTGCGGGCCCAGGCAGGGGCTTCTGGGCTTCCAGCCTTGGGGGGCAGGCAGAGGCTCAGCCCCATGTGGGCCTTTGGGGCCTGCCTGCCCTCCGTGTGTCTGTGTCCAGACATCAGTCTGTCACAGGCTCTCTCTCTTTTTTTAAAAATTTATTTTATTTATTTACTTTTGGCTGTGCTGGGTCTTCGTTGCTGTGCGCAGGTTTTTCTCTGGTTGCCGCAAGCAGGGGCTATGCATGCAGGCTTCGTTTCACCGCGGCATGTGGGATCTTCCCCGACCAGGGCTCGAACCCGTGTCCCCTGCATTGGCAGGCAGATTCTTAACCACTGCGCCACCAGGGAAGCCCTCACAGGCTCTCTTAAGAGGGGCTGGGGGGGACTTCCCTGGCGGTCCAGTGGTTGAGAATCCGCCTTCCAATGCAGGGGATGCAGGTTTGATCCCTGGTTGGGGAACTAAGATGCCACATGCTGCGGGGCAACTAAGCCCGCGCCACAACTAGAGACAAGCCTGTGCACCGCACCGAAGACCCAATGCAGCCAAAAACCAAACCAAACCAAAAAAACTCTGAGGCAAGCAATTAAAGAAAAAAAAAAGAAAGAAAAAGAGGGGCGGTGGGGGTCAGGGATTCAGATTCAGCTTGGCCGCTCAGCCAGCAGCTCTGAGCTCTCCCTCCATCTACATGGGCCCTCCCCTGCTGCCCCAGGCCCATGGCCCCCAGGCCCTGCCATTCCCAGCCTCTAAGACCAAGGTCCTCAAGAGCAGAGATGTCCCAGAGGTGGCAGAACCCCAGCATCTTAGAGTGGGGAGGGCAACGCAGGTGTGTCTATCTGAACCCCCCTCATTTGTGAGGAGTCAGCCCTGCTTATGAAGTCCAAGTGAGACTTGCACACATCCACCATGGGAATGGAACTGTTCTATCTACAGACGAGGTGGCCCAGAGACAACAAGGGACTTGTCTAATATCACACAGCGCATCAGTACCAAGCTGGACCGGAACCCAGAGCTCCTGCCACCAGCTCAGTGCTCTTCTGCTACCCTAGGCTGTAGCCCCATCCCCAGGGGCCTCTCCCCATCCCTGGCTTCTGGTGTGTGACTTCTGGTGTGGGAGGCCAGGGCCAGGGCCCAAGAAAGCCACAGGTGAGTACCTGCCTTGCCCATATTATGTCAGGGACTGAGGGGGGCAGGGAAGGGAGCTGAAGAGAGGGGCCTGTCCCTACGGAACTCAGGAGCAGAACAAGGGGCTGAAGCCATCTGGAGGGGCCATGGGGGGTCAGCTGGCCCTGAACTGGGCACTGAACCCAGGGACTGGCGAGGCCACCGGGAACGGGTCGGGCTGGGCTGGGAGCCTCTGAGCAGCAGAGGGCTTTGGGCGGGAGGAAGGCTGGTGGGTGGTACCGGGCCTGGGGTGGAGGCAAGGCTGGGCTGCCTCAGTCCCCAAGAGGGGGCTGGTCATCGGCCGGGCGTGGGCCACAGGGCCTGGGCAGGAATGAACTCACGGCCCAAGGCAGGGCGTGGTCACTGGCTGCCCAGACCACAGGCCAGGACAGAGGCACCAGATGGTCCCAAAGACTGATCAACACAGCCAGGCGCGAGGCTCATGGAAGGCGCGTCTTACAGCACCCTCCCTGTCACCCAGACGTGGCCCCTAGTCGCCTGGGACGGGCAGGGCTGGGCAGTGCGGGGCTGAGAGAATCCTGCCTGCTGCTGGGACCCAGCACTGGAGGCTGGGGGCTCTTCAGGGACCCAGGAGGCCTGTGCGAGACACAGCTTTCCTCCCATTCAAACTGCTTTCTACAGGGGCACACCCTGCCTGAGACTCGAACCCCAGTGGGAACAGAGCCATTGGGAGGCGGGGCCTGGGAGCCAGCTCTGGAGAGCCAGGGGTCCCCAGCAGTGACTAGGTAAAGCCGTCCTCCTCCCTCGAGCCTGGGAGAAGAGGCTCCGGTTTGGGGACCGTTGCCAGCAAAGGGATCTGACTCTGGATGGCGGTGTCCCAGAACCAGTGCTGGGTCCAAATGCACATCCCCAGGAAGATACAGAGCCCGAGGCCCCTTCTGCCCCTCCTGGGGGGCCGTCAGAGCTGTGTGCGCCGAAGGCAAGAGGGGGGGGCTCTGTTTGCTTTATCGCCATTAACCGGCAACTGGGAATCAATTCCCCTCGTTCCCGTTACCCTTCTAGAAAAGCCCGCTTCGACCTCAGAACTCAAAGAGAATCCCAAGAGGAGGATGGCGGTGCAGATGCACCCCCTCCCCGGTCCGAACTCCCCACGGGTCCTGAGTCCCCAGAGGTGCCGTCTCCACCTCGGGCAGCTAGAGGCCAGAGCAGTGAGGTGACCGCGGCGAGTGACAGCCCCACTCTGCCCCGGCTCCTGCCCCACTGCAAACAGCTCTGACCGCCCACAGGTGGAGGAGGAGAAGGGGCGTGAGCTCCATGCAAAGAACCCCCAAAGCAGACACAAGCGCTCTACCAAGACAGCTTGATTGGACAATTAGACTCTTCCCACCCCCGGCGGGGCGGCCATATCACTTCTGCCTAGATGACTTTCGCTTCCTCCCCTTCTATCGTTTTTCCTTCAGGGACTTCAGACAAGCTGAGCACAAGGTGAAGATCTTATTTTTGATCTGGAATTTACAAGTTTCTCATTTTGCTTTCCAAGGGTGGAGCGGGGTCAAGGCCTTCCTCGGGGGAGCTGTCTGCAGTCCTACTGGCTCTCAGGGGCATCAGAGGGGCTGGGCCCTAGGCCTCTCTCCAGTGGTGCCCAGGCCAGTGTGGACATGATGCTGTGGGAGCCAAGCTCTGCCTCCATGGTCTCCCCCGCGGGACTGGTCCTTTACGCCCTGCCTCCCCTGCTGCAGCCCTGGCCCTCTCCACCTTGGCACCCACCTCAATGATGTTCAGCTGCTCCACACTGGAGGCCACCCTGAACTCGGGGGCGCTCTGGCGGTACAGACCGTCTGCAACACAGAAGTGGTGGGTGGGTGTGAGCAAAGGGGCAGGCCCAGCGGACAGAGGCTGTGACCGTGACAAGCAGGGCCCGAGGTGTCCCCCCAACCCCCCTGGGTGCTTCGGTGCTCCTCCTTAGGAGGCTGTAACCTGCAGCCCCCAGCTGGTTACCCTGTGTGTCCTCTGGCTCAGGGCTTTCGATTTTGTCCATGAGGTCATTGGAGTTCCACTTGGTGATGTCCTTGGGGAACATTTCCTCTGAATCGGACAGGTCCTCTGGGGAGGAGAGAGAGGGGCTTCAGCACCCCGATCAAGGGCAGGGAGTCAGGGGAGGAGGGGTGCTGGGAGCCCTAAGAGTGGCCGCTCTGGGGGCTCCCATGCTTCTCTGGCCCGTGTGGCCCTCCCCACTTGGTTCTATGCTCTCCCTTCCTTAACAGGACGGACACACGGCCACATACTCACGGGGCTTCTGCCTGATGTTTTTCAAAAAATTGTGGTAACTTTCACTTAACATAAAATTCACCATTTTAACCATTTTCAAGCAGCATTTAGTCCATTCACGATGCTATGCAACCATGAGCTCTGTCTGGTTCCAGAACTTCTCCATCTCCCCCGATGGAAACGCCTCCATTAGCAGTCATGCCTCATCCCCCGCCTCTCCCAGACCCTGGCAACCACGGGTTGACTTTCTGTACTTATGGATTTGCCTGTTCGGGACATTTCCCATACATGGGATCATACAGTATGTGGTCCTTTTTTTTTTTTTTGCGGTACGCGGGCCTCTCACTGCCGTGGCCTCTCCCGTTGCAGAGCACAGGCTCCAGACGCGCAGGCTCAGCGGCCATGGCTCACGGGCCCAGCCGCTCCGCGGCACGTGGGATCTTCCTGGACCGGGGCACAAACCCGCGTCCCCTGCATCGGCAGGCGGACTCTCAACCACTGCGCCACCAGGGAAGCCCCAGTATGTGGTCTTTTGTGTCTGGCTTCTTCTACTTCCCATGGTGTTTCTAAGTTTCAACCACGTGTCAGTGCCTCATCCCTTTTCATGCTCAAGTCATATTCCATCGTATGGACGGACCACGTCTTGTTTCTCCATGATGTTCCTGACTGTTTTCAATGTCCACAAAACGACAGCTTAGTGAGAAGTGCTGCTATGAACAGTTCCATCCATGACTCTTTTTTTTTTCTGCTTTTCTGAGAACTTTCACCCGTGACTGCTGGGTAGGAAGCAGCTGTCTGGGCTCCGCCATGGCTGGTCCCTCCTCTGTGGGTCACTGGGACAGTTTCCCCAGGACACTGCGGCTCTGGCATCTCCTGCTCTGCTGTCTCTTCTCTTTTCCAGCTTTTTCTAAAGTTTCTACATTAGATGTGTCTTTGCCTCATATCAGGGACACAGAGCCAGGGGGGGCTCAGCCTCTTGGCCTGGCTGGAGGGCAGTGGGAGTATGGGATGCCCTAAACACCCTCTCTAACCTCAGGGAGGCCCCAGGTGCAGAGGCTGCCTCAGGAACCACCTGCCTCCCTTTCCGGGTCCCCACCCCAGGGCCACATCTGCCTCTGCCCTGCTGCGTGCCTGTGGGCAAGTCCCTGTCCCTTTCTGAGTGCGTCCTGCCTTATAAACTGCAAACCTGTCTCCCTGTACCTGCCTGCCGGCCCCTCTTACTTCCTCAAGAGGAAAGGCAAAGTACGAAGCAAGGACGTTTGGTAGGTGCATCTTCCCAGCACAGGTGGGTGATTTATCCGGCTGTCTGCTGTGCTTATTCTGGGATTCGCGGGAAAATGGGCACTTCATGTATTTTCTACTTGTTTGTATTTTCTAAGCTTTCTACATTAGATGTGTGTTAATTTAATCATGAAAAGACAGTAATTACAAAAATTAGAAGATTAGAAGAAGTTATGCTTTTGTAAAGCTTCTTAGGGAATTATTATTATTATTATTTTGGCCATGCCGCATGGCTTGCGGGATCTTAGTTCCCTGACCAGGGATTGAACCCGGGGCCACGGCAGTGAGAGCACCGAGTCCTAATCCCTGGACCGCCAGGGAATTCCCTTTGGGAATAAATTCACATATGGAAAAAATGTCACCGTCTGATTTTAAATCCATTTTGGGGGGGTTTGAGAGAACAGTCCCCACCTGCCAGACCCCGTGCACATTCTGACACCAGGTTAAGGTGAGTGTGAGACCCCATCTCATCCTGCCCCTGCCCCCACGTGCTGCTGTTCACCCAGAACTTTTCACAGGTAATCCCCACCTTGACTTGCATCCCCTGCAGCTCTCTCAGACCCCTCCCCTCCCCCTCTTGCGAAGGCCCGTGTGCTCCAGGGTGCCCACCTACCGTGAGCATCAAAGAACTCATCCTCCGAGCTCTCGTCCGAGTCCCGGGCGATACTCTGCATCCTCCACTCCGAGATGCTGTGGCGGGAAGGACTCGCTGGAAGGCAAAACCCCAGACTGACCGACCACCCAGCAGCACTGGGATAAATGGGCGGAGGCAGGCAGGTGCGATGATGCTGGAGTAGGGCCAGGAGGGCTCAGAAGGGGATGCAATGGAGCAATGAGGGCTCTGACGCATCTCCCAGCCCACCTGGCACAATGCAGTCCTGTCCCGGGAGGACGTGGATGGGGGAGGGTATCAGGTATGAGGCCAGGACGTGCAGTCACCCAGGCTTGGGTCCACTCCTATGCCCTAGACCTGATCTGCTCAGGAGCGAGGCCCCCTCCCTTTTTTTTGCCGCACCACTGCGTGGCATGCGGGATCTTAGTTCCCCGACCAGGGGCCGAACCCGGGCCCTGGCAGTGGACCGCCAGGGAATTTCCAGGAGTGAGCCCCTTCAACTCTGCCACGGCGGGGCCGACAGACAGGGATGCCCGGCAGGGGCGGGAAGTGAGATTAAAGGTATCGATGCGTGTGTCTCCATGGATCCCTTCAGCACAGCACAAGCCTGGTGTGGGAAAAGCTGGATTTGCGAGAGGGGGTGGGACTCCTGGCGTTTTAGACAAAATACCCTGAGTTTCCCCCATAACCACTGCACTTTCAAGTGAGTTCCAGAGAAAGGCCTTTCTGAGTATCTGAAGCCTTTCAGGGTCCTTTGGCCTGGCTGCTCCCTCAGGCGCAGAAGCCTCTCCTGGGTGTGCTGGGTGCAGCGCACCCACACCCCCCCCACCCCGCCTTGGAACCCTGGCTCAGAGCTGCAGCCTGCTGGGTCCCAGGAGGGGGTGGGAGTAGGGATCCCACGTGGCCAGCCTGCCTGTCTCAGCCGGGCTGTGTGCGTGAGTCTGGGTGGGTGAGTCTGGGGGAACCTGCCAGGGTTGGGGCAACGCCCTGGGCTTCACTCCGAGGCGGAGGCTACAAGGAGGTGACTAGTTCTGAGTCCCACAGGTGTGGCCCGCAGGTCCAAAAGCAAGAGTCCACCTTCAGAGTTCGAAGTCCCCGGCAGAGGCACGGGGCTGCCCTGGCAGGGGCAGTCGCCGGGGTGGACGAGCAGAGGGCAGGGACACCCGCAGGGACAGAGTGCGCTCACCTCCCCGCTTGGACGACCGGGACGACTTGGAGGACGTGGACCACTGCTTCTTCAGACCCCTGCCCGCCAGGGGCTCCCCACCGCTGCTGCTGGGCTGCGGGGGCTCCCTGGGGGCCTGGGCCTGGGGGGCCTCGTCCTTGGCCAGCTCCGCGGCCCCCTCGTCGTCCTCACTGAACTGGGCCATCTTGCGGGACAGCATGAGCTGCGCCTCCTTCTCCAGCTCCCGGATGTTTTCCATGTTCAGCCCGTACCACTCGTCCTGCCAGCACCAGGCCTGCCGGTGGGCCCTCACCATCACCTTCCGCAGGCCTGCAGGGGAGGGAGAGAGAGACAGAGAGACGCCTGTGTTAGAGCCCCCCGGGGACTCCTAGGCTGGGAGGTGCCCCGCGGTGCAGGACAGGCTCTGCCCCTCACCCACTGCGTGGCTTCCAGCAAACCACTGCCCTCGTGCCCGTTTCCCCATGTGTAAATGAGGGGTCTGGCTCACAGATGACTTCACAAGCTCACAGTGGCTCTGTAACTGGGGTACTGGGGCTTCCCAAGGTACTGTGTCTGCTCAGAAGCCATGCTGAGTTTTGCGGGGGGGGGGGGGGGGGGGGGGGGGGGGGGGGGGGGGAATTCCTGCCTTGTGGGGAGCTGGAGAAGGACTTCCTGAGTGTTTCCTATCTCAGAGTCAAGGACACTTCTCTTGTCGAATTTCCCACGGGAAAGTCAACCTCAAGCTCGAAGCACGTTGGTCCTTTCTTTTTTAAACAGAATATATACACATACGATATAAAATAAGATATAAAATACAATAAAGTACGATATATAGGAATATATCATATATAGAAAATAAGATGGAAAATAAGATGCTTTTAAGGTATAAAGAACAGAAGAACCACAGGGACAGGAAGCAGATGGGGGCCGCCTTGGGTGGGGATGAGAGTGGGGGTGATTGCGAAAGGCTCTGGGGGCGTGGAAGGTTCTAGAACTGTGTGCACTTCTCTGTGAACACGCTCAAGCTTACGGAACTCAAACTTCTCTTACAAGAGATGCAAAATCAGGCCTCAATAGGCTGCTTAAAAACATTAAGAAGAAATAAAGCATTCCCCCCCCCCCCCTGCCCCCACCCCCCCATACCACCCATCGAGGGAGTAGACGTGACCAGTAACACGGAGCCCACGGTCGCCCTCCCAGACGCATCTTCCTCCCGCCCTGAAAGGGTCCATCCTGAATTTTGTGTTTGTCACTTGCTTTTCTTTCCGTGTTTTTCTATACAGTATGTTGGGCTGGCCTACATGTTGTTGACATTTACATGTATGTGTCATGCTGCATGTATTTTTCTGCCACTTCCCCTTCTTGGGTGAGTTGCCGGTTTGCTGCCGTATGGTATTTATTTGTGTGAAATACCACATTTTATTTATTCTTTCTCCTGCCAGCGGGCCTTTGCCTCACTTTCGTTGTCCGTTTTGCTTTTACAGTCCTGCTGCTCTGAACATTCCGGAACGTGCATTTGAGTTTCTCCAGTGGGGCAAACCCGGAAGGGTCATCACTGAGTCTTCCTCCCGCTTTCCTAGAGAAAGCTGAGTGGCTTCCCAGGTGGTCCGGCCCTTCCTCGTTCCCAGGCTGGTCTCTGGCGACCCTTCCTCCGGCCTCACCTCCCGATTCCCACTTGCAGCCTCGCTCAGGCCACTCGGCCTCCCCAGCTGTCCTTTCTATATCCCTTCATTCCCAAAAGCCTGCCTGGGAGAAACTCCCTCTCACCCCTGCTCCTAGGAGGGTGCCCCCAAGCCCCGGGCCGTGGCCTCAGGCACGCCACCCTCAGGGTCAGCCAGCACCAACACTGGACAGACCGTCTGATGAGATGTGACGCACAGATGAGGACGGCTGGGACAGGAGATCTGGGTTCAGACCCAGGGCTGGCCCTGGGCTTCCTCCACTGCAAATGGGGGTGGGAGGGGGTGACAGTGGCCACCCTGCAGGGCCATGGAGAGCTGATGTGACACCTGTGAAGCATACCATCAGTGCCGTGACTCTGCTCATGGCTACACAGCCACCCTTGCTCTTGGAGTGAGCAGGTGTCTGCCCGGGTGCTGCTCCTGGATCATGAGTCTTGGGGCTAAAACCAGGCTCTGGGCACTGACCTCTGCCCTGACTGGGGGGCAGGGAGGAGCCCGGGTCGGCACTAGCTCCTTCTAGAACCCCTGGGCATCTGCTGTCCCGTTCCCTGGGCACCTGCTCTGGGCCAGGCGGGCGTGGGTGTAGGATAGGAGGATGTCCGAGACGCTCTCCCCTGGGGCTTCCGGCCCAAAGCGGGCGGCAGTGCTGGGGCAGGGCCTGGGGTCTGGCCTTGGGGTGCCGAGAGGTGCTGTGAGCAGCAGGGGGCAGTCCCCTGGGGCTGCTCCCCCATGGTGGGTGGACATCACATGTTACAAATACCAGCCAGTCCACAGTGTCTGGGGCAGGCATACACTGCCTGTCGTCTGTAGGTGCTCGTCAAGTGTTTTTATGGTCAAGGTAAACCAGGTGGGTGGCTGCATGTGGGCCTTGGGGGTCGCCTGTCCAGAGTAAGACAGAAACGTGGAGTCCCGGGCAGATGCAGAGAGAGAGAGGGCGGGCAGACAGGGGCACACAGACGGAGAGGCCGGGCACGCTCACCCGTGTCGTGGATGAACCTCTCGATCTTGGACTGCATGCCCCAGTAGCGGAACTCCACCTTGCAGAGCTTGTAGGCGCACATTATGGGGAAGACCTGCTGCTTGTACTCCTCGATCCAGTTCTCCGACAGGGGTCCCCGCTGGGTCTTGGTCGAGTGGAACAGCTTGGGGTCCTCTTCCGTCTTATACTCGTTGGGGGGCACGGGGTCCTTGACGATGTCGATGAAATCTACGGGGAGACCCCGTGAGTGACAACGTCTGCCCCAACCTCCACCCCACCCCTCCCCATCCAGTCTCCTCGCCATGTCCCTGCCATCCCCAAATCCTCGTCGGGCCCCAGGCCTCGATGTGCCATGGGGCCCGACGTGGGGGTGAGGACATTGTTCTGGTCCACCCTGACCCCGAGCTCCCCCGCCCTCAGGACCTGTGGCTTTCCTTGTTGCCTTTTCAAATCATTTCAGCAACCCCCCTGTTTTGGGCACACTTGCCAAAGCGGATAAATAAGGTGATGAGCTGGAGAAGCATGGGCGAGATGAGGATGGAGGATGTGGGATGCGGCGGGGGCGAGTAAAAGAGTAAAGCTTCCCAGAAAAGCTGGTGTTTCAGCTACAGGAGCAGAACTGTGAGGCCAAGAACGTCCCAGAATGTGACACTGAACCAGGAGGTGGGGGAGTTTGGGGAACCACCAGGGTGTCCACGTGGGTAGAGGTGATGGAGATGCAGCTGGACACATCCGCCATCTCTCACCAGGCTTTGTGCCCGGCCGGCACCCTGAGGGGAAGTGGCCCTACAGATGCGCTTTAAGGCGGCTGGCCTGCTGGGAAGCCCCTCCCAGACAGATCAGCAGGGAAGAGTCCAGAAACCACGTCTGACGGGCCCAGGGGGAGGTGTCGGGCCTGGGAGGGTCCAGGATGTGCCTGAGAGTGGGCAGCAGATGCCATGGGGCTGGGCGCTTGGGAAACAGCACTGGGGGCTGGTGGGACCTGGGTGAGGGGCGGGACAGTGACTCTGGGAAGGACCACCTCTTGTCACACGGCTCCTCCCCCAAGTCAAAGCCATCCTGCTGGGCTGGCTCCCCGAGGTGTGCATGTGGTAGACGGGCTTGCGTGCCAGCGGCAGACCTTAGGACAGGGTCTGTGGCTCAGAGACTCCTTCTTTCAGATGTGTGGGGACGACGGCACTTGGGGGGGCTCTGCCCCGACCGGGCCCCGGCTGTCTCGTCTCCCTGGCTTGCTGGCACCGAGTCTGGGTTGTGGTTTACAGACGCAGACGTTGGCCCCGCCGAAACTGGTGACTGGTCAGAAGCGGCCCGAGGGCAGCAGGATGTGGGGAGGGATGCACATCCTTCCTGGAGCAGACCACGTGCCCAGCCCACTCAGGAACTTAGGAACCATGGCAGGAGGCCTTCGGGGGGAGCCTGCAGCTGGCCGGACAAGAGCTGCCAGAGGGCCTGCGTCATGCCGGGCCCTTCCTTCCTGTTATGGGTAGAATGTGTCCCCTCCTAAACTCATTCATTGGAGTTCTGGTCCCTAGGGCCTCAGAATGTGACCTTATTTGGAGACAGGGTCTTTAAAGAAGTCATCTAATTAAAGTGAGGTCATTAGGGTGCACCTAATCCAATATAACTAGAGTGCTTATAAAAAGGAGAAATTTGGCTCAATTAAAAAATAAATACACCTGAAACTAACACAGCATTGTAAATCAACTATACTTCAATTAAAAAAAAAAAGGAGAAATTCGAATACGGACATGCACGCAGAGAGAACACCATGTAAAGATGAAGGGAGAGATTGAGGTGATGCGTCTACAAGCCGAGGAAACGCCAAAGATTGCCTGCAGCCACCAGACGCTAGGGGAGAGACCCAAACCGATTCTCCCTCAGGGACCCCAGAAGGAGCCAGCCCTGCTGACACCCTGACCTTGACGTCTGACCTCAAAACTGTGAGACAAAAAGTATCTGTTGTCTTAAGTCCCTTAGTCTGTGGTACTTCGTTCTGGTAGCCCTAGGAAGCTAAGGTATCTCCCAAAGCCCACTGGGGCCTAAAAACTCCGGCAGGAGGGAGGAGTCTCAGGGGATTGCCCTCCAGGCCTCTGAGGCTGCCTGGGAGTTCGCCAACACCCCTCCAACACCAGCCGTGCACCCATCTGGGAACCACAATGGCTTGTTCCTACAGGCTTGGGGCCTGTTGAGGTGTGGCTGGTCCACAGATGTGTCTTGTTTGGGTGGCATATTTACAAAGATTTTTAATTAGTTGTCAACATTTAGGAATTGGAAGATTTCACATGAAAACCCTGATTTCTGGCCTCGCTTGAAAAAGAAGATTTAACAAATGGGGCCTGTTTCCCACATGGCATAGTCAGCTAGAGGGGAGTAGAGCAGAGGCCGCCCACTGTCAAGGGGACACAGGCCCCATCCGGCCTGCTGCACTCACGTATGGCTGTCAGCCTGATGTGGCCCCCAAGCACACGCATGCATTTCTGGGGATGGGGACACTTCGAAGGGATGAAGGGAAGGGGCTTGAGTGGGAAACGCACGTAGCCTTAGTGGGCACATCAGGGAAATGGGGCCGAGGAGACCCATCCTTCCTGCCCCCTCACCTCCGACCAGGCTTGCTTGGACTCTAACCTCCCCGCCCAGGACAGGAGCTGGTCTGCAGCCTGCCAGGCCTGAAGATCAGGGGCAGAATCAAGGGGCCCATGGGCAAACCAGGAACTCAGCCCTGCAGGGCTCCTGCCCTTCCCGGAGTTGGGAGCGTCAGGGTAGACGGTTACCGATCGTCAGCTGGTTCTTTTCCACAGGAGACAGGCTGAACACATTGGGGTTTTCTCCAGCATCAGTTTTATAAAAGGTTTCGATGTCAATGGAGAATTTCTCCACAAAAGGGCAAGTGAACCTGCGGGGGAAAGAGAGTATCCATCAGGACTCGAGCTTAGCGGTGTAGGCGTGGGTGGCTGGGTGGAGGATGAGGGCTGGAGTGGTGGCTGAGACGTGTCTGTCCTGTCCACCTCCTGGACCTTCACCTCGTCCCAAGAAGAGCCAAGTCCAGGTTGTGGGGAGGGATGGGTTTAGGGGGAAGAGGGAGTTGTTCCGGGAAGCTGCCGGCAGCCCTGTGTCCACGTGTGTGAGGCATGGTGTGGACTCAGGCACAGCGAAGGTGGCACACTGCTGAGTCAGCTGAATCTGGACCAGCGCTTCGTGTGACATGCCACCCTGTCCCCCGTCCCCTAAGAAACCAGGTGTGGCAACAGGGAAACAGCTCCCCTCTCTCAACTGGAGATGAGCTCAGAGGAGGAAAGTGCTGCTGGGAAGAGGCATGACCTGGATGGATCCTCCAGCAAGCTCCAGGCCCTCAATGACCTGGGGAAGGAAGCCCCAGGAGATTCATGGGGACTCCACCTGCTCAGCAAGTGGGCGGCCAGCTGGGAGCGGCCCCCGATCTCTTCTAACGAAGCAGTGCTCAGCTATATTGGGTGGGGGCCGCAGAGTGAAGAGCCCCCCTACCAGAGGGATCCAAAGAAAGCCCTGCTCAACATGGTTTGTTATAAAACATCATCATAGTCGCTGAGGGTCTCAGGATTGGAGGGAATCTCTGGGCCATCTGGTCTACCCTCAGTTTGTGTTTCTTCCCAGCTGGTGGACGGTCCTGCATTCCCAGGCGAACGTTAACGTGAGTCTGTATTCCCTGAGCCTTCCCAGATGGCAAAGGAGTCTCAGATGGCCCTCGCTGGACTCAGGCCTTCCTGGTCTCCCCCACTGGCAGGCTAGAAGGCACCTAGGGGTATACCCTTCCCTCTCCTGCCTGTTCTCTGAGGGGGAACCTGGGGGACCTTCAGGGTACCACTCAGAACGGAGGCTCAGCTCCCCAGAAGCCAGGGCTCCCTGGGGTGTGGGGATTGAGCCTGTCTGGGGGGCCAGCACCAGCATCTATGCTGCAGGGTTGCTTCCCCAGCAGACAGCACGGAGGCTGAGGGCAAGCTCACCTGGTTCGGGTATAGGGGTAGGCGTTCCAGGACTCCTCCACCACCCGCAGGGCCGCCTTGGGCAGGATGGAGCGGAACCAGCTGGGGATGTGCATGCCCACATGGTACACCTTGTGTGTGTACTGCCCGGAGCCACCAGGGCCGTCCGTGTATGGCCGGTTCTCCAGGATCTCCACGCCACTGCCTTCACCAAACGTCTCGTTACGGCTCTTCTTCTGTGGGGACAAAAGCACTAGCGATGTGTGGGTCCAGAGCACTCTGCAGAGGGAGAGGGGCTTAGGAGACTGGCCGAGGGTGCTGAATGGGGGGTGGGGTTTTGGCCAACCAGGCTGGCTCCTCCTGTGTCACTTCAGGACACCGCCCCCCCCCCCCCCCCCCCACCGCCGGCTCCACGTGCCCCAGCACTCATGCAGGAGACTGAAGGGGCCACGGTTCCCTGTCCGAGCCCAGCACTGCACGTGCAAACTCCTCCGTTCTGACTCCTGAGTGTGCCGGGACTGAAAGTGTTCCCAAGGTCAGGAACAAGATGAGGATGCCTGCTTTCTCACCTCTAGCCAGCATTGTACTGGAGGTTCTAGCCAGAGAAATTAGGCAAGAAAAGGAAATAGTAAGAATAGGAATTCGAATAGGAAAGGAAGAAGTAAAACTATCTCAATTTGTTGATGACACACCCATATACAGAAAAACCTAAAGAATGCCCCCCACATCTGTCAGACCTAATACATATATTCAACAGAGCTTCAGGATACAAAATCAACCCACAAAAGCAAATACGGCAGAAAGGAAATAAAGAAATCATTTCCATTTACAGTAGCATCCAAAAGAATAAAATACCTGGGAAGAAATTTAACCAAGGAGGTACAAGACTTGTACACAGGAAACTATAAAACATTGCTGAAAGAAATTAAAGAAGATCTAAATAAATGGAAAGACATCTGTGTTCATGCACTGGAAGATTTAATATTTGTTAAGACGTCAATACTCCCCAAAGCAATCTGCAGGTCCAATGTAATCCCTATCAAAATCCAATGGCAGTTTTGGTAGAAAGGGAAAAACTGATCCTAAAATTCATATGGAACTCCTAGGGCTCTCAAACAGCCGAAACAATTTGGAAAACAAAAAGGTAGCTGGAATGCTCACATTTTCCAATATCAGAACTTGCTATAAAACTATAGTAGGGGGACTTCCCTGGTCGCACAGTGGTTAAGAATCCGCCTGCCAATGCAGGGGACACGGGTTTGATCCCTGGTCCGGGAAGATTCCACATGCCACGGAGCAACTAAGCCTGTGCGCCGCAACTACTGAGCCCACCTGCCACAACTACTGAAGCCCACGAGCTCTAGGGCCCGTGCACCACAGTGAAGAGTAGCCCCCGCTCACCACAACTAGAGAAAAGCCCGCATGCAGCAACGAAGACCCAACACAGCCAAAAATAAATTTAAAAAAACCCCACAACTACAGTAGGGACTTCCCTGGTGGCGCAGTGGTTAAGAATCAGCCTGCCAATGCAGGGGATACGGGTTCAAGCCCTGGTCTGGGAAGATCCCACATGCGGCGGAACAACTAAGCCCATGCGCCACAACCACTGAGCCTGTGTGCCACAACTAATGAAGCCCGCACGCCTAGAGCCTATGCTCCACAACAAGAGAAGCCACCGCAATGAGAAGCCCTTGCACCGCAATGAACAGTAGCCCCCACTCGCCGCAACTAGAGAAAGTCCGCGCGCAGCAACGAAGGACAAACGCAGCCAAAAAAGATTCATCCACCTGTTGCGGGTGGTAGTAGGTCTTTAAAAAAAAAAACAAAAAACTATAGGAATCAAAACAGTATAGTACGGGCATAGGACAGGTCTATGGAATGGAGATGAGAGTTTAGAAATAAACCCACAGATCTATACGCTATACATATTGATTTTCAACAAGGGGGCCAAAACCATTCAATGCAGGAGGGAAGAGTCTTTTCAACAAATGCTGCTGGGTCAATTGGATACCCAAGTGCAAAAGAATGAATCTGCACTACTATCTCATACCACATATCAAGATTAACTCAAAATGGATCAAAGCCCTAATTGTAAGAACTAAAAGTATAGAACTCTTAGAAGAAAACATAGGGGCAAATCTTCATGACCTTGGATTTGACAATGGTTTCTCAAATATGATATCCAAAGCACAAGCAACCAGAGAAAAAATAGCTAAATTGGACTTCATCAAAATGAAAAAAAAACAACTGTTGTGCATCAAGGGACACTATCAAGAGAGTGAAAGGACAATCCACAGAAAGGGAGAAAATTTTTTGTAAATCATATATCTGATAAACGAATTATATCCATACAATAAAACATGATTTGGCTGTAAAAAGGCATGAAGTACTGACACATGCTACTACATAGATGAACCTTGAAAACATGCCGAGTGAAAGAAACCAGACACAAAAGGCCATATACTGTACGATCCCATTTATAGAAAATGTACAGAAAAGGCAAATCCGGAGAGTCAGAAAGTAGATTTTTGGTTGCCTGGGGGTTGGGGGAAAATGGAGAGGGACTTTTTTATGGGGTGATGAAAATGCTCTCGAACTGTGATGGTTTCACAACTCTGTGGATGCGCTAAAAGCCGCTGAACGATGCGCTTTAGATGTGTGAGTTGTGTGGTGTGGGACTTCCAGCTCAATAAATCTGGTACAAAACAAAACAAACAAACAAATAGGAACCAACCTTGCCTCTCGTACGCAACTAAGATTGCAGAGAGATCAAGCACGAGTGAGAAGGGGCCTCGGGGGCACTGCCCAGGAGACGTGATGCCTGGGTCACCTCCAAGTGTCTTTCTGCCACGAACGTCCTTCCCAGGGTCCAGAAGCTCAGGTTTCTGCTTCTGCACAAAACCTCGTGGTCAAGGTGCTGGTGACTTTAAGCCCAGCATCTGTTTCCATGGTGACATGACAGCATCACCAAGGCCATCTTCGGTCAGCTTCCTGAACAGCAGATGCACATATACTCATACATGCACACACCTGAGTCCTCGCACACGTACACAGGCACTCCCCACAGCACTGCCTCGCCCTCGGGGCACGAACCCTCTCTAAGGCACAAAGACGTGATCTATCTCCATGGCCAGAGACACTGAGTCCCCTTCAGAAAAACAGCAGACCCTGGTTGAGGCCACAGATGGAGTCAGAGCAGGGACATGCCATTCCTCACTCTTTAAAGGAGCTCCTGGAATGTGGCCCAAATTCTGTAATGAAAACAGCGACCATCTCTCAGATGCTTTCCAAGATCCCGCCTCTTACAGTAGCTTCGTTTATCAGCAGTTGTGCTAAGCGCTTGGCATGCGCTTTCTCATATAGTTACTGCAATGAGCCCTTGAGAAGACTGCAGGACTACTATCACCCCCAAGGTACAGATGGGAAGGTGGAGGCTCAGAGAGGCCGAGTGACCCGTCCAAGGTTACACAGTTACCAAACAGCAGAGCCAGGACGAACTCAGACCTGTTGGATTCCAGGGCCCACTCGCCCAAAGCAGTGAGCGCCTCAAGGAAAACACCTCGGGACAAGGTAGGTGCTGATAAGCAGTTATTGGGCAAGTACAGAGACTGTAGTCCTAACCCTGTGGCCAACTTTCTCTCATCCTGGACAAGTTGCTTCTTGTGTCTGGTCTCAGTTTCTAAAACTATAAGTGGGGATGGGGCTACCTGTCTGCCCAAGCCCCAGTGCAGTGGGTTAAAGGCCTCCCCCCCCCAAATCCGTATCTACCGAGAATCTCAAACTGTGACCTTATCTGGAAATAGGGTCTTTGCAGATGTATTGATAATTAGTTAAGATGAGGTCATCTTAACTTAGATGGATTAGACAACTTAGGCTGGGCCCTAAATCCAATGAGAAGAGATCATTATAAGAAGAGAAAACAGAGACACAGACACACACAGAGGGCAGGCAGCCATGTGACAACACAGGCAGAGACTGGAGTGAAACAGTTTTAAACCAAGGAACGCCAAGGATTGCCGGCCACCACCGGAAGCTGGGAGAGTCAAGGGAGGATTCCCCCCAGCGCCCCAGAGCCTTCAGAGGGAGTACGGCCCGCTAACACCTTGATTTTGGACTTCTGTCCTCCAGAACTTTGAGAGAATAAATTTCTGTTGCTTTAAGCCATCCAGTTTGTGGTGCTTTGTTACGGCAGCCCCAGGGAATGAAACATCTGGGGTGCTGGGTGGCTCAGTGAGAAGAGGACGTGCAGGTCAGAGGGGTCAGGGTACACGGAGTCTCTGAGGGCTGAGGTGCGGCCTGCCAGGGATCCGAGGGCAGAGAAGGCACGGGGAAGGCCAGAGAGGGAGCAGGGGCGGGGGAGGGTGCCTCCCACCTGGCCTCACTGGGGCTGCACAGACCCCAGGCCCCAGGGATGGGGGAGGGGAGAAGAGGAGAAGGGGAGTGTCCTGCTCACATCAGAAGCCACTGCCCATCCCTGCCAACCACTCCCCAGAGACTGTGGGCTTGACCTACCCTACCTTGCCCGCACAGGCTGGGTGAAGGCCTCTCCCCCCTCCTCCCCTCCCCTCCCCTCCCCCATCCCTGGGGCCTGGGGTCTGCAAGGGAGGAGCCTGAGCCGCCAGGGGCCTGGTGCAGAAAAAGCACTGGATGAAGGGGGGAGGATTGAAGGGATGAAGGGGATGAAGGATTCAAAGGCCAAGAAACCCCGGCCAATCAGGCAGCTCTCAGAGCTGTCCAGGGTCCTGGCTAAGGCACTTCTGATCGCTCCCCCCCGTTTGCTGGGCACCTCCTAGGATGGAAGGCTCTCTCCCAGCCAGACCAATTTTTCTTTTTTTCTTTCTTTCCTTCCTTTCTTTTTTTTAACCTTGAACAACATGTACATTGAGTGCTGGTCAGGCAGGTATGAGGCAGTTTGATACGTGAGCCCATCTTGTTCACAACCTCAGGGAGGAGGTGGCTTGTTCGGAAGGCCGGCCTCTTCCTAGCTGCCACCCCAGTTGGTAAGCGGGATCAGTGGGTAATGAACTAAGGTCTTGCTCTTCTTTCCAGAAAAACAGAAAAACGGAGCTGCCTTCCTTGACGGACCATCTATCTCGTAAGGCCCAGCTTGGAATGAGGGCCCTCCTGGAGCACTGGCCCCCCAAGCCAAAGTGAACACCGGGCTCCCAGCCTCCTAGCCCCACTGCTCTGGCCTCTACTCAGTGGGCTGCATACACAACCGTCTCCCCGCAGGCAATCCTGGAGCGCAGAAAGCACTTTGTATTCATCTCTGTAGCCCAGCCCTTGCCCAGGCCGGGCACAGAAAAGTCTGGGGAATTTAACTTAGTTTTCAAAGAGCATTACTGAGGTAGGATTGACATACAATAAACCATCTATTTGTAAAGGTACAGCCGGTGAGCTGTGATGTACTTTCACACCCACAAAACTGTCACACAGTGGAGATAATGGGCTTGTCCATCACCCCGACGGTGGATGGAGCCCCCCCCCGGAACCGTGGAGCCAGAGGCGGGTGAGACAAATGCCAGAGCGCGAGCAGAGGAAGCTGGCCTCGAGAGGCACGCCATGTCAGTGGGGCTGTAGGAGGCATCACCTAGGAGGCTGGGAAGGTTTCACATTAATTGGAGGCATAGATGTTGAAAAAAGCACCTTAATACAGGGGGTGCAGATGGCAGGTGTCTGAGGAGCCCTGAATCAGAGGTGTTTACATACTTGAAAAAGCCTGGGATAAACTGGAAGCTGAAAGTCAGCCTCCTGGGATCTTGACGCTCCCAGCCCCCAAGCAGAGCTGAGGGCCATCTGCTGTGGTCCAGGGTTAGGGTCCAGGGCTCCCCTGGCTCGGGGAAGAATGAGGAAGCCACAGGACAAACAGTGCCTTTGGCAGATCAGCTGGTCCTTGAACAGGCTGAGAGATTCCCAGAGTGCCCAGCGCTGGGGGGCTGATGCCAGTCTCACCTCTCCCCACTCTCGAGGAATAATTACTGGGTAAGTGGTTCAAGAGGGAATTGAGTGGTGCTCCTGAAGCAGCGTGGAGCAAACAGCCCCCCAGAGAGGCTGAGCTGGCCTTCTGTTCTCTTCCCAGCCAAGCTTCCCACGCTGAGGGCCGGGTCAGACTCGGGATGAGGGTGCAGGCCCTGCCGGGCTCTCCCTGCCCTGACGGCCCCATGTAACGCTTGAGCGGCCAGGGGCTGCACCGAGGCATCCGTGTACCCAGGAAAGCCAGAACCAGGCCGGGAGCAGGTTCATAATCAGACCCCCAACTGGGAGGAAAGCTGCCAGGCCAGGCAAAGGGCTGGGGCACCGAGGATGAGCAAGAGGCTAGCAGAGAAGCTGGGACGGGGACCCCCATGGGGCAGGACCGCAGCCAGCACCCCAACGAGCAGGAGCTGTGGTCACGTCTGGGCCATGAGGACCCGATCCTGGCTCTCCCTATCCGGGTTCCAGGTTAGTCAGGCACTGAGTAGGGAGGCCAGCAACATCTGGGGTGGGGTGATCATCTCTGGTTTGTCACAGGCCCCGGTCATCCTCAAAGTCACTTGTGACTCTGTAAATCAGCCACTTAGCCTAAGGCATGAGGAAAGTGCATACCTGGAGCCGGGAGTCAGGCTGTGTGCTCTTGGACAAGTCACTTAACTTCTCTGGGCCTTGCACCTTCCTGTCTGTCAAATGGATTGTCATGGACTGAACGTTTGTGTCCCTCGTCCCCCAAATTCATATGTCGAAGCCCCAACCTCCAATGGGATGATGCTAGGAGGTCAGGCCTTTGGGAGGTGATTAGGTCATGAAGGTGGAGCCCTCATAATAGAATTAGTGCCCTTATAAAGGAGGCCCCAGAGAGCTCCCTGGCTCCTTATGCCATGTGAAGACACAGCAAGCAGGTGGCCGTCTGTAAGCCAGGAAGAGGGCCCTTACCGGACACCAAATCTGTCAGCACCTTGATCTTGGACTTTCCAGCCTCTAGAACTGTGAGAAATAAACGTCTGTTGTTTAAGCCACCCAGTCTGTAGCATTTCGTTATACAGCCCAAGATGACTAAACACAAGGATAATATCTGGATCAGTAAGAGGATGGGTGTTATATACAAAGAGCGTTAGTCTTGTCAGTGCTGTGAATACAGTGCTGGCGAGACAATCCAATGCCACAAACATCCACGGCGTGTTGCGTGTGCCTGGCTTCGTGCTTGGAAGCCAGAGCTCCAGTGCAATTCAGACACTGACCAGAAGCCTACTGGACACATACTGCTGTGAAGGCCACAGTGCCACCCAACCCTCCACGCCGGTGCTGAGAGCTGCCGTGTGCATGGCCTCACCACCCACCTGTATCATGTACAGCTGGGCAATGCGGTACTCCTCCACGGTCATTGGCAGAGGAATCCGATATTCCTTTATAATCATCTTGGAGTCCAAGCCTTCCCGTCAATGGGAACTGTGCGTTGGGACTTCTAGGCGAGGTTCCTTAAATAACCATGACAAAATTCACCAAGGACCCCTGAGAGAGAAAGAGAGGACAGGAGAGTCACTTTCTGCAAAAGCTGATGGGTAAAGTACCACAGGAAGGGCCTGGTCTAGACCCCAGGCTAGAGTTCTGGTCTCAAGTCAGCCATGAGCCCACTGTGTGACCCTGAGCCCACCGCGTGACCTTGAGCAAGTTCCCTCACCTCCCCAGCCTCCATTTTCCCTGTTTGCTAAGCAACTGTGTAGAGGACAGGTATAAACTCTGATCAGCCACGAGGAAATAAAGGATTGTTATCCTGCCAGCGAGGGCCAGGCGATGGGAGGGCATCGCATCCCCTAAGAGTCGAGAGCGTCACGTGCTTGTTTTACGCAAAGTTCTAACAGCCTGCAGCCTCGCTCCCCCGTGTTCTGGAGTAGCTGGAGGCCAGCACGCTGACAGCAGCAAGTGATGACGGCCGGCAAGAAGGCAGGACAGACAAAACTACGAAAAACAGACGTGAGAATTTTAAAAATCAGCGGTCTGGGACCATTCGGCGTCAGGGCAATCGGTTCTGCTCCTGTCACCGGGTGCAGATGGCAACACTGCTTCCTGGCAGGAGATCCCGAGTTATCAAAAGAGGTGACCTTAGGTGTAGTTTCAGTTCAATCCACCACCAACTGCTTATTGATACCTACTCTATTGCCAACATTGGGCTAGGTCTTGGAGGTAGAAGAGGAACATCAGATAAATGGGTGGATTGCACGGCACGGGAATTACATCTCAATAAAGCTATTTAAAAAATAAAAGCAAACAGGGCTTCCCTGGTGGCGCAGTGGTTGAGAGTCCGCCTGCCGATGCAGGGGACGCGGGTTCGTGCCCCGGTCCGGGAAGATCCCACATGCCGTGGAGCGGCTGGGCCCGTGAGCCATGGCCGCTGAGCCTGCGCGTCCGGGGCCTGTGCTCCGCAACGGGAGAGGCCACAACAGTGAGAGGCCCGTGTACAGTAGGAAAAAAAAAAATATATATATATATATATATATATATATAAGCAAACAATGTATTCACAGTAACTTGTATTTAAGATGACAATATATTTGATGAAGGCTTGCACCTAAAGCAATCATATTTAAAAAAACAAAACAAAACTTAATGCTTGAAGGAGGCATACCTGCAGTGATCTGGAAAAAGAAATCACCCATCATGATCTGTCCCCTAGGTGGTGGGGGCTTTGCTGTGGATATATTTGGTCACCCCCAGAGAGAATGGATGCTGTTAACTGGAAGCTGAGTGAAGGTTTCCAAGACAGGCAATGGCAGAATCAGGAGAGTAGTTTAGAAGGACCACGCCGGGGACAGCAGTCAGTGAGGATTCACAGGGACTGGAGGCAGGATGCTGGCTAAGTGATAAAAGCAAGGGCCGACCGGGCAGGCAGCTTCCCCAGGGCACCATGTGTACGAGGCCTGAGCATCACCTGGGCACTAACGCATTACTGGATAACTAACGCGATTGGGAAAAGCATGTGTACCAGAACTCTTGGGACCTTCGGTACGTAAGGTGGAAAGAAATTCTTTAATAAACCACCTAAGGAGGGAGATGGAGGCTGGGGACGGCCCCCACATTATTAGCCTAAAGTGACCCCCATGTTGTTTCCTTCTTTACAGCAGGTAGGACTATTAGCCCCCAAAACACCCAGCACCAAACTCAACTTCTCACTTATCCAACTGCTTGAAATACAGTCCAGATAAACATCTTTTTAGCCAATTAGAGTTCATCTGCTTTACATACCCCAGAAACCGCATCCAACATCTGCTAGGCACAGATGAGACAAACCCGAGTTCATAAAAGACCCCAAAGGGGGAGTTTTGTGACCCAGAGGCTCTCCATCGTGATTCTGAGCGATGCCACCTCGACACACGAGCCCCCTGTCTAACTCCGCCTCTTTCTGGGTGGTGGTCCCACATCACTGTATCTGGAAGGCCTCTTGCTGGGAGAAATTTTCCACCCTAGCAAACCTGTCCCAGCGCCATCCAGAAAAGCTTGTTACTGCCCCTCCTGGTCCTGTCTCTTCCCTGATCAACCCTGGACCGCTGAGCTTACCACAAAGGGGAGGACTCAATCCTCCAGAGGCCGTGCTCATGTGCAAACATCACCTCTAACCTTCCTTGAAGGTGTGGGTCCAGCCAACAGCTAAGAGGGCACGTGGGTTCGGGGCCCGAGCTGAAATTGTCCAGGAGGACGAGAAAGCAGAGGCTGCAGGCTGCCTGGACTCGGCTCTGAGACCCACAGGTCCAAGCTCAAGTCTGGCTGGAAGCTGAGGCCGCAGGAGAGACGAGTGATGGTCCAGGGCCCCCAAGGCACCACCTCCTTCCACAAGAGGGTGTGACACAAGACGCTGAGGGAATTCCCTGGCAGTCCAGTGGTTAGGACTCTGCGTTTTCGCTGCCGAGGGCACGGGTTCGATCCCTGGTGGGTACCTAGCAAGATCCCGCAAGCCTCAAGGCACAGCCAAAACAAGGAAACAAGACCCTGGGCTCAGCTGGGGCAGCAAGGCACCCAGGCTGACACCCCCAAGAGGGTAGGACAGGCACCCGATTTGGGAACCTCCTGACACAAACAAAGGAGAGAGAACCATATGCTTGCGAGAGGCTGGATGAAATGCGGACTGGAGACAGGAAAGGGAAAACCTAGGTTTGATAAGGGCCATTTTTCCAAAGCTTTTCCACATGGCTTTGTGGGCTCCTTCTGTGGCAAGGGATAATGCAATGACACAGAGTGAGCCTGGGCAAGTCCACGTCGTCATCTAAACTGCTAACAAAGAGGTCAGATGCAATTTCTATATGTTATCGAGAAACTCTAAGCAACCTGCCCTTCTGGGCTCTTCACAGCTCCACAGTAAATGACCTGCCCGCGCTTGCCCACACACGTCAGACCAAATGTCCACTGGTTTGCCTCTTCCAGCCCACCAGGCACCAGGGCAGGACGTGGGGCCGGACTATGCTTTTTCCTTAGAAGCCTCCATTTCCCCCCAACAGCCTCCACGTCCCCCCATCCTAACACCCGGATGGACTCTCAGACCATGAACCAGCACCCAGACACAGGCTTGGTTCTCAATTTCGGGGGCCCTGTGAACACGTGTCTGGAACGCACACAGGATAACGTTCCTTTCCTCCCCAAGTCTCCGCTTTCTTCTCCCAAAGACAAGCTACCCAGTAAGCTGTCATCCCACAGGGGGCGTCCACATCTCCACGTGCAGCCTGAGGGCACAGAGACAGGGAGGGGACACATACCCAGAGGTCCCTCAGCGGCTCCCATGTCCTGGGGGAGCTGGGCTCGCAGGCGAAGCTTAGGGCCAACCAAGGGCAATAACCCCATGACGGCCCCCAGAAGACAACACGCCGCTTAGGCTGCATTTCCATCTCCTGCTGGGCTAGAGGAAGACAGCTGTGCCTCCACCCAACAGGGGCCAAAGAGTGACAGAGGTAGGTATGTAGAAGGAAAGAACAAAATAAACGGTCCTTTCTAGTTATAGTTAAGTGCGTGGTGACTAATGATAGGAGAGGACTCAGGACTCTAAGAGTGACACAAAATGTGCAGCAGTCACAGGGGAGCTCCCCCCTGGCATCTGAGGTCGCAACCTCAGACAACGCGTTTCCCAGCCGTGTGATCCGTGCCCGCCGAGCCTCGGTCTCTCCATACGTCAAATGGGGATAATGCCACCCGCCGTCCAGAGGCATCGCCAGTGTCACCGAGATGAGTGCGGGTGAAGTGCTCCCCTGCCAGGGGGTATACGTCTCTCAGTCCAGAAGGACTTGGAAAAGGCTTCACAGAACGTGGAGCTTTCAAACGACGTGAGCTGGGTTTCCCAGGATCAGTGAGATTCTGTTCAGCAGAGCATGTGGGAGGAGGACGCTCTGGGAGAAGGAACAGCACGAACAAATGCCCCAAGGTGGGAACGCGCCACCCCATCGGAGACACCTCCCACTGGCGCACCCCCAGCGTCGCCATGCCACGTTCCCCGGAGGATGGGGCCAGGGCAGTGGGGGCACGGAGGCCACCGGCGGCCACTCTCCACAGGGCAGGCTGTGCTCAAGGCTGAGATGAAGCTGCTCCCTGCAGCAGGCATGACAGCCACACCCACACGCCCATGGAGTTCAGGGTCTGCTGGGGCGGGAGCAGGGTGACAAGAGACCATCACTTGCTTCAAGAATTCTCTCTCCCAGGGGAGGAAAGACATACTCGCCAGACAGTGTGTAAACACAAAGCATAAGTTTCCCAACAAGCACTTCGACACAGAAGCCAAGCTGTCCTTCCGAGCAGCCCTGGGGAAGGTCTGCGGTCACCCACACCCAGCAGGGCTGCTCTCTAGGAAGCCGTCAGTGCTCTGGGTCACTGTGAGCCCCTTGGGTCACTCCCAGAAAGAGGAACAGTGTTCGGGAGAGGGACACTGGCTCCTCTGGGGGCTGTCTTTCAGGGAGATCACTCTGAAGGGGCCAACAGTCTCTTGCCTCATCAGACACTAGCATTTTATTTACTTAAGAAAGCCAGATCTGTTTCTTTCTACACCTATGCTAGTTGGTTCCAACAACTATCCTGACTTCCTGATGAAGACAGAGCAGTGGGAGCTCTTCCGTTCTCAAAACGACAGACAGCGGCTAAAGACAGAGAAAAGTCACCACGGCCGAGAAACGAGGAGATGGCTGCAGCCCCGAACCACAGTCCATGAAGGATACCAGCCAGACACCACAAGGTCTGAGCTGGGAGGAAGGAACATGCTGACAGCTAACACGTGCCACCTCGGACCTCTGAACAAATACCACCTCCTGAAAGACATGGAATGATGGAGTCTAGGGCTTGGATGCCCCCGGGGGAGGAGAGCCATCACCCTGTCTTCCGTTTTCTACTTTTTATTGAAGTACTACATACATCCAGGAACGTGCACATATCATAAGTACAGATATTTTCACAAACTGAACACACCCATACAGCCAGCAAACAGATCCAGAAACAGAAAATTAATAACCCAGAAGCACCCTCCCCCAGGCACACCTCCCCCA